CATAGCCTTATGGAGGCTTTTAGAGAGCTCCTGGGGACTGGGGAGGGCAGAAATGAGCGAAAAACTGTTTTTGCCTCTCCCAGCAGCTTCTTAAAGGTATGCATGCAATTTGTTTGACAAAAAACGGGCCCATTTTCACGAAAAACGGGCTGTTTTTAGGACGTTTGCAAAGTGCAAAAACTCGGGGCTTTCCAAGGGGGGGGGGCTTTTGGGAAGCTCTTTAGTTAGAGGGGTTGATGAGAATTACATTGATTAAGTGCTGTGCCAGCAGAAACAAAGTCTTAGGTGCTGCAGATTGTCAGCAATTTCCTTCTCCAGCACATGGATAAATACACCTGGAAACCTACCCTCTCTCTCTCCCCCTACCTACCTACCTGTTTTTCTCTCTCTCTATTTCTCTCTCTATATATCCCTTTATCTACCTAACTACTCACTCTCCCTACCTACCTACTGTATTTCTCTCTCTTGCCCCCTCTCTCTCTATCCCTCCATCTACCTACTTTTTTTAAAAAAATGCCTCTTCAAAACCTTGGTGCGTCTTATACTCCAAAAAATACAGTAGATTACAGCAATATTGGCAAGTGGCTGTTTATTTTCTGCCATTTATTAAAGTGGGGATTCCCAGAACCTCCTCCCAAAGTGCCTGTTCTTGCAGTGTGGAAGTGCCTTCCTGTTTCCCTGATGGAGAGGAAATGCACAGATATTCCATGCTTGTAATACTTTGAAACCCACCGTTCTCTTTCCTAAGAAAGTTATTACACATTTGGTGGGTCTTTTTAGCTTCTAATATGGTCTGCGGGATAAAGAAAATAAAGCTCTATTCCACTGTCTTCCGGAAGCTCTAAAAGGCTGACTTCATTACGTGATACCCAGAGGAGGTCCCATCTCTCTGCTTTCCTTCACACTGGGCACAAAGTCATTTATTACTTGCAGGTGGCAGCGCCGGAAAACAAAGCAAGGTACTTTCAAGGTTGAAAATAATGCTCCCAATGTTGTAGGGGAGATTTAATGTTTCTACTAAATCAAACAAAAGGTCTGGAAAAGAAACTTCATGGGGAGCAGATATTAAAAACATCTTAAATAAATAATTAAAGCAAATTAAAGTCTACGGGCAAACATAGGGAACACCTGAAGTTTCCCGTGGACTCCTGAGAAGCCTCAGCAGTGTTCAACAATTTGGAAATGCCAAGAAAATGAAGAAAATCATTTAGTATTTATTCAATTATATTGATGGATTCCTTGTTTTCATCAAGAGAATAGATAACACAGATCCTAAGTGTGTGGCACTAGGAAACAGACAACTCACCACGGCTAACTTGCCATGGCCAACTGCAGGCCAACAATTTAACAATTCAATTTAATAACTGAAATAAATAGAAAAATATTTTATTTTTTATTGTTCACATTTCATTCTGTCCTCCTTATGCATGTTTTCTTTAAGGATTCTATTCCACCATGTCTTTGATATTAGAATAATTCTTGTCCTCCAGTGAGTTGGCCGTGGCAAGTTGGCTGCGGCGACCCACTGGACATTGATGGCAAACCTTTTCGGCACCAAGTGCTGAAAAGGGAGCACGTGAATGCGCTCGTCTGGGCCGCGACCAGGAAGAGGTGCTGCCCAGGGGGCATTCGTGAGCTGGAAAATGTACATCTGGTTTCATTTTCTGGTTTTCGGTGCGCACATGTGCACCGGCCAGCATATATTCCAGTTACTTCTGTGCATGCCCACGCACCAATCAGCTGGCTGGCGTGCATGCTGACACCGGAAAACGAAAGACCAGCCCTTCCAGTTTCGGGCACTGCTGCATGCACAAAGGCCAGCTGATTGCCATGTACGCATGCATGCCAGAAACCCGGAAAAGGAATGCGTGATGCCAGGTGTGCCAGGTGACATGGCTCTGCGTGCCTCTTCGGCTAGGTTCGCCATCACGGCATTAGGAAACCAGGAGAAGCAACAATTAGCAAAGACTGAAAGATATGGAGATAGTGAACAGCATTAGTGTGAAATCTTTTAGCCATATTTTCTTTACCCATCTCACCTTAACTACTTCACCATACAAAAAAGGCAGCAAATTCTTTTAGGGTTATGCATTTATGTGTTATACTTAGGTATACTGTGTAACTGTGAGATTTTGAGTGTGATCCTATCTGGAAAGAATACCCAAATGTAGTCTGCAATATAAAGTACTCTTACAATACAATACAATAGCAGAGTTGGAAGGGACCTTCACTTTGTCAAAGAATTCAGTAAGATTAGTCTGACATGATCTGTTTTTGACAAAGCCATATTGGCTTTTGGCTATTATTTTGTTTACTTCTAGGTGTTCGCTAATTCATTGCTCGATTATCTTTTCCAGAATCTTTCCTGGTATTGAGGTCAGGCTTATAGGTCTATAGTTTCCTGGATCTATTTTTTCCTTTTTTGAAGATGGGAAACACATCAGCTCTTTTCTTAGTCACACAGTACATAAAAGGGTTTTCTTTCACACTTCATAGTGCCAAATTTGCACTTTATTCTTTGTACAAATATAATTCTCCCTTGATGCTACCACCTTTAATTAAATGCAACACATGCTACTTTATTTGACTCGGTTTGTATTTCTAGAGTCTTTATACCACAGGGAATTAGCAGATCTCTGAGGATCCACAGGTGAAATAATGGTGAACTTTTTCAATAAACTTTTTTATCCTGAAAAGTATTGCTTTTTGGTCATACTATCCAGGGGTGGGATTCAGCTGGTTAAGACCGATTTTGCACAGTTCAGAGAAACCGGTAAACTGCTGCTTTCTGCTGCTTCTCCATGCTTTCCGGATGGGACTTAGAGGAAAGTGGAGGCTCACAGCTGCTGAATTGCACAAGAGACTCTCCCTCCCTCCCAGCGAGAGCAGCAGCGGAGAGAAGCAGCCGCTGCCCCGGAGAGCAAAAATGGAGCAGAGCAGGCCCCAAAAGGTTGCTTGGTCAACCCTCGCCGCATGGCAGATGCCGCGCATGCACGCGCACTCATATTTTCAGCAAACCGATTGTTAAGTGGGTTGAATCCCCCACTGATACTATCCCCTTACTCTGTAACTGCACAAGTGTCACATATGAAAAGAAGTGGTTCCGCCATCCATAAAATTCACACACTGTACTATGTGTGGAGCAGGGAGAGAGAAAAACAAGCTCAGATAAAAAGTATGTTTTTTTTCTGAGTTAACTGCAGCAAGGATATAAGCACCATTTCCAAAACAATCCAGAAAGACTGAGACTTAAAAGGTTTTGGCTTTCTTCAATCACACCCAAGTTTTAATAATAAAAACATCATAATCAAAAACAGAATCAGATATGCCTCATTCCCCCACCCCCCATTTTCTTAGAAATGCACAATGGTTTCAGGAAAAGGCTCCCTTCCACAATTTTCATTCGACAGTAATATCCAGACTGTTCTGCTGATATATTTCAACCTTTTCAAATCTCAAGAGCGGCGTTTTATGTACATATCAAACTGTATTGTGCACATTTGTTTTGCAGGCAGAAATACTGTGGTTCCTTCCAAAAAGAGTGGGGAACAAAGAAGAAAAGACAACAGCAGGGCAAGAAGTTCCTCCTTGACTCACCTTAATTTGGGACTGCACAGTAGAACAGATGTGGTAAACCTATTTTCTTTTTCAAGCTGAACTACTAGTGTCAGCACTGACATGTGTATCAAGTGATCTGTAATGGTTTTAAAAGGATTTCTGACCACCAGTTGTTTATAGCAATAGCACTTAGACTTATATACTGCTTTACAGCTCTCTCTAAGCGGTTTACAGAGTCAGCCTGTTGCCCCCAACAATTTGGGTCCTTCTTTTACCCACCTTGGAAGGATGGAAGGCTGAGTCAACCTTGAGCCTGTTGAAACTCTAACCACTATGCCAGAGACTCAATTGTTTAATAGTAAAACAAAAGACTTTTCACCAACACAGTCCCTATCCTCAATAAATAAAGCCTGGAACACCCAGAAGTAGATTATATGTCCAAAAAAAAGTTTCATCTGGTTAATCTTAAAATTACAAAAAGGGTTTTATTTATATTTTGGCTTTTTGTGCAGTCTGACATTTGGTTTCTCACTCTAGCTTGTTAGGAACACATCGAGCTCTTGATACACACTGAAGTTAAACAAGGGACTTCCAGTTTGGTTGTTCCTGCTGACAGAAGAGGTGCAACAGGAGTGACTAAACAACAAGTACCAGCTTACTTGCATGCTTACAGAAAGTCAGAATAATACAAAAAGGGTAGATAGATCTCTGCATTTGAATTATACTCTTAAATGGTAAGGTTGTGCGCTGCACCTCCTTTGGTTCACCTTTTCCTGAACTCTGGGAGACAGCAATAAACCTAGCACCAGGGATAGTTAAGCTAATAGGCAAGTGGAATGTGCCAAGTTTATCACCCACTTCTAAATAGGTGAACAACATCTATATTTGAAGCTCTTGCACTTTTGCATGGAACCTCAGAAACAATTCATTAAGATCTGGAGAACAGCAATCAGTGATAAGAATGTTAACATTTAACTGCCAAGAGGTAGGTCACTTCCAAACATGCAGCTTACAAAGTCCACGAAAGGCTGAAGTGACATGGGAAGAAGGTGCAGGTGGACACTGTGAGCAAAACATTAAAAAAAAATAAGATGGACAGGCCTTAGTTGCAAGACTCCATTGATCCGAACCTCCACTTGTGCTATGTAGCTGTCTTCCCCAAACAAGGCAGAATTTGGGTCAATTCAACTATGGGAAGGTGTGAATGTTGTATGAGTGCGAATGTGTTTGAATTCCTTTTTCACAAACTCCAAAATCAATATGTTATTGTTGTTGAATCTTAGTGTCTTGTGATACTCACTGCATGTGATTAGACTATATTTCTCAAGAGAGGCCCTGCTTCATTACATCAGTAAAATGCAAGGCCTTGACCTGATTGCATGATGGTTGTATGATAAATGGTATCCTTTGCACAACCGGTCCTATGAAATTTATAAATTTGATTCTATGATTGTCCAAATCCTGATTATTAGATTTTTCCCCCTGCTGTTTGGTCAAAGATAAATAAATAGCAGAGGAACATTTTCTTTCCATCTTGTGTCATGGACACTTAATGTGCCTGCAACTTTCACCTCTTCTACAAACGCTGGGGCATTTATAGCCCAATCTTATGCATGTTTATGCAGAAATGTTTCATTTCATTCAACAGGAAATTCAAATGCATGTTCACAGGAGTGAAGTCTTAGTCTTCAAATATGTGCATTTACATATCCTTGCATGCATATAGGGAAAGCCACCGTAACAGGTCTGTGAGTAAGCTATATGACTTGCAGGAATAAAGACTTTGAGTTGTGCTCCTAGACTGTATAAAGCAATCTTTCCCCATCTATCCATATTCTAATATCCGGATTTCAACTAAATTCCCATGTTAGGGATTTTGTTATATAGCAGCTGTTCAAAAATCTATAATATTGTAATCAGGTTGTATATAGGCAATCCTCAACTTATGACAATTGAGCCCAGAATTTTGATTAAGTCGTTGTAGTCCTCCTATTGAATCATTGGCAGACTTATAATTATTTTTCTGATGGTTGTTATGTGAGTCACCACGGTCATTAAGCAAATCACATAGTTAAGCAAATCACAACTCTAGCATTTTTGCTAAAAAACGACAAAAATTAATGTTGCAAAGCTAAGAAGTGCGGGTATACTGTTAGGAGCCGCAGGGCGCTGGGTAAGGATGCTTTATTGAGTACAAGATTCTTGGGATCTCGTACTCCGTTGCCAAAGTCCTCAGGAGAAAAATCGTTGGAAGCAACTTATGAGAGCAAGTTGTGACTTTTCCTGCTGGCTTTCCCATTGACTGTGCTTGTGGGAAGGTGGCAGGGAAAGTCACAAATGGTCATCACGTGGGATGCTGCAAGTCATAAGCATGAGCTGGTTGCCAAGCACCCAAATCATGATCATGTGACTATACGGATGGCTATGATGGTTGGAATTTTGAAGACTAGTCATAAATTCCACTTTTTCAATGCTAAGGAGGGTGATAAGGAACCATCAGTTCCAGATAGTCCTCAGATTATGAATGCTTGTTCACTGACTGTTCAAAGATACAACAAAGTCCTCATAATCTGAGGACTATCTGGAACTGAAGGTGCCTTAGCACCTTCAGTCATCTTTAGAGGCTCTCCTTTAGGCGTCCTGCCAAATAAGGCAAAGAGGGCTCTGCTTCTGAAAAGCTTTGCTGGGGATAGAATACCAGTCACTTGCACTGAAGTGTTATCATTGCCAGGTAAAGACATTTTTCTTCTTCTACAGGAATATAGTTATAACAACTAAATTCAGCTTTTGATTTTAAGTGCTCATGTTATATTGAGATTTTGGTTCTGTATGGTTTTCATTAAATCATTCCTGCTCTGCTTATTCATTCTTTTTACTATTGGATTGTTTGCCATGCTTTAAGTGACTATAATTTGCTGATAAGAGTTCTGGTTATTGGAAAAATTAGAAATATTAATAACCTTAGCTACCACATTTTTGACAGCTTGGATAGAATCACTGTTTGATTATTTATTTCAAAGAGTAAATGAAGTATATTCAGTAAATCATTTTGGAAAAATGAAGACTGCTAGAATAAGGTAACCCTTCAGTTGCAAAAATTGCTGTGGCCGATTTCTCTTTTTATTACTTCAGCCCACCATTTTACTCAGCTTTTATATGAAGATATTGTCCAACCAGATTAAAAACTATACCCAACTCATTATTATTCATCTGCAGACATAATGAATAAGAGAATAGATTAAAATTGGGGGATTTCAGGTATGCAATGAAGTAAGTTTCAGTTCTAATCATTAAATTGCTTCCTTTTGTGTTCTGACAAAATTCTGAACCCTGGAATCTGAACAATGCTTAATAGTGTGCCTTATGTTTTATCTCAGCTTTTACTCCAACTATCCTGTGCATTCCTCTCAAAGAACATTACATGGAAGATCTTTTGGTACTGAGAAAGATGGATAATAAATAAGTTACAACGAAAGAGCACACCAAGAAAGAATTGGGATCCCAACAGCTCTTGTAAGCAGTTTGCTATAATACTTACTCAAGCTGCCCAGCTGTCGAATGACATTTGACAGGGTGATGTTGGTTGCACATTCCAGCTCATTCCGAACACTGGGCAATGTCTGGCGGCACAGGTGCCTTGGCTCGATATTTCTTGTTACTAATGGCATGGTGGATCAGCTTCAAACAGGGCTCTGAAAGATAAAGAATAATCCCCAAACAGGAATAAGATTATATGGCCACAGACCCTAGCAACATTAGAGAGAAACTAATATTCTAAATATCATAACACAGTTATGTATTCACTCTCTATATATTTTTTAAATAAACCTAATTTTTAAGGTTGCCAGAAGGAAATCAAAGCCTGATAGTTCCAAACTCCCAACAAAAACTCCTTCTGCTGTAACCTGTTCCATATCCATTTATTCAAAACCATATATGGTTTCTTTGACTGCTAAGTATTTTCAGAAATCATTCTTATTAAATTTATATGCTGTCCATCTCACTATCTAGCAACTTTGGACACTATAAAGACCAATGTGAAATGTGCACATTAACACATTTTAGCTGGCGGAAGGATAAAAATTTATCATGCTAGACAAATTGGATTCTCATTAGAAAACAGGAAGTGTTGATAGCTGACCAGACAGCTTACTAACAAATGCTTTTTAGCCAGAGGGTTGCACCATTTCTCCTAAATTTCCTCATGATGGAAGGCTTTCCTATTAATACGCCTGCATTTTAAAAACAGTCATTTTACTCTACACAAGAACCAAGTAGGCAATGACCTATCGCAATCAGATAAATGCCTTTTGAAATCATTATGAGAAAGATTCTGAAGGACAATCATGTTTGTTTGCCTTCCCAAACTTTTTTTTAATCAAGGCATCTGTAATTCAGTTAATCTAACACTTAAAGAAAGCATTTATTAATAAATATTAATTAAACAAGATAATTTGTAGATCGGAGTTGCCTAAATCAAATCAAATATTTTACAGCCACTAAAGATAAAAATGTCAAAATACAGAATGATACTCTTGATGTTCACTACCTTTCTACCTACAATAAAACTAACCATCCGATTTTCAGCAATCATAAAGTATTAAAGTGCTTGTATGCTCATGCCATTCATCTTCAAAAGACACTGATATTTCTCTTCAAGAATTTGCACTCTGTTGGAGAACACAGCCATGTGTTTATGAGCTGTCCAACTAGCGAAAATAAAATATACAGCATTTAATTAGCTAATTTTCAAGAAAGAAAAGGGAACCCACCCTCTCTGAGGTTAGGCAGCAAACAGCTTTGCTAAAGGAGACAGCTGTCTTGTGACAAATGCTCTGATCTGCTCTGGGATGGAATGGGGGGGGGGGGACCAGGAAGCTGACAGCTTGGGGAACATGGCTTCCTGTCACCAACAGCAACAATCCAAGACTCTTTTTCTTTTTTTAAGTCAGCTGTTTATGCTTGACTTTGAACCACCTTTTTATAGTCTCTGTGGCAGCTGGCAGCTT